GCACCGGGCGAGTGCTGAATTAATTACTTACTTAATTAACTCAATCATAGCCTGGTAGTTGCTGGGGCTCACCCACGTCATGTTGTGCGGAGGAAAGTGGTAGCCTGTGGAGAAAAAGTGCTGAGGGGGAGGCAGCAGCGAAGCGCGGGAAAAGCCGGGGTGAAGGGTTTGCCCCCACTGGTGCTGAGGTAACGCGCTGCCGCCTGCTCGCCAGCGCTGCCCGTCTAAAGGCGTTTCCCGGCGCGTTCCTGCTGCTATCGGGGCTTTTCTGTGGAGATGTGTGTCAAAAATAAAACGAAGTACACTTCTAACATGGTTGTGGTTTCACTAAATGGCAAGAGTGGTTTCCGTGCCTTAGGAAAGGTATGTTTTGTTCTGTAAGTCTGGGAAAAGCCCTTCTGTCGTGCGTGGGGAGGGTTGTGTGAGGGACTGGGTAGTCTGGTGCGGTTCTGAGGTGGGAACTTGCTAGAGAGGCTCCCCTGTGCACTGCTGCTAACTCACAACTCTATTGTAAGGCCTTTTTACTTAAAATCTCCGGGGAAAACACACAAATGCTTGTTTTTATTTCTTTATTTTTTTAATTTATTTTTCAGGTAGCCTAAGGCAAATTACTATGACTAGTGTAGCATAATATTTGTGGGGTTTTTAAATAGAAATATTGTGTTTTGCATGCCAGGAGGTATTGAATGCAGCTGCAGGACCTCGTATTACATATGCCAGTTGTGGGATTTACTCAGTCTTGTTTTCTTTTCGTGCTTCAATTGTATTGTAATAACGTAATGGTACAAACAAACACAGCTTGAAATTGTTGTCCTAAACTTAAACATTTACAAAACCCAAAATGTCAAACCTAAAACATGAATCCCAAAACCTGAAACCCCTGCAGAGATTCACAGAACTCATGTAAAATTAAACTGGGATTAGCAGAAGTGAATAAAATGAAGCATGCATGTAAGTGCAGGGAGGAATTGGACTCAAAACAGTGGATCAGTTGTCAGCCTGAATAGGTTTGTATTGTAGTAAGGTCAGATTTTCTTAGTTCTTTTATTTTTATAGCTGCAGATAATGGTAGTGCCAGATTCAGATTTCTTAGTTTAAATGAATGTTGCTGGAAAGTAATAATTTTTTAAATGAATTTCCAAGAAAAATACAAATTTTATACTGTGTGTTATCTGCTGCCCAGACCTTGAAGCATCAGATCTTGCATGTGAAACAGTTTATAAACGAAATTGAGTGTTTTAATTATAATAATGAAGTGGATGAATTCAAAAAGGAAAATGGGCCACTCCAATAAAAGACAATTATTTCATTAAAATATAAAATTTCATGGAATATACGGACTTTATGATATTTACTTGCGAATATTAAAATGTTATGATGGCTTTTTAGTAAAAGATTTTCTATTCCAGTGTGAGCATTCCTGTAGGTAATGTAAGTTAGAACATTAGCTGCCGTTTGATGTTTAGTGTTAATTACAGAATTCTTGGCTGTGCTGAAATGTCTTGTCAGGAGATCTACAGAGTTCGTGTTTCTCAGTGTTACTTTTTGTCTGCCTGTAAAGCTACAATCCTCACTGAAATCAGCAGAACAGCCCCACCGCTTTTGGTGGGAGCTGAAGCAAGGCCCAGTGTAACCTTAAACATTTAATATGAAAATGGACTTCAAAATAGACATTTAAATAAATGCTTTAAGGCTTCCTTCCTCCCCCCTCCGCCCCTTCCACTTGTCATGTAGGAGAAAGAGCAGTATGATTACAAAAAAGAGATGTGCTGCTTTTGAGGCTTTGGTTGTTGGTTTTGGGTTTTCTGCAGGTGATATCTTTTCTGCAGTCCTCTAGGCTATTGAGAAGCTTGTGGGAAAGTGCTTGAGAAGGAAGTTTAAGTTGCCCTGCAGAGCTACTGATTTAAGTTGACTCTGGTTTTGAAACTCTTTGTATGGCTTTTATGTCAATGCTAATTCAACTGTTGTCAACCCCAGGCTCAAGCCAAACCCTTCTGGTGCCCATATGTATCATAAATAAGCCAAAGCAACAGGGTTACTTTTGTTTCAATTTGCAATTATCTCACCATGCTGCAGTTTTTCAGCTTCTAAAATAGGTTTCATAGTTTCAATTTTGTCTGTGAAAGACGCCTTAAGAAAACAAACATTTACAAACGCTTTAAGATCCCTATTGTAACATTGCTGTAAAAATGCAATACATTATGACTGCCCAGATATGGTAAATTTTCCTCTGACTTTGCCCTATTTATTTGCAGAGCATGCTTGAAGAGCTAATAATTCATCAGCCAGATGATCCCATTCAGTTTATGATAAACCATTTAAAGCAAAACAACGATGATGGTAAGTGAAAATTGAGACACCATAAATAGTTCAACTCCTTGTTTGTAAACAGCTGTTTGAAAGCTGTGCTTCAGTTGGCAGATGATGGATAAAACTTTTCAGACTGTGTCTGGGGGGGAGTTGAGCGTTTTGGAATAGTTATAGGTAAGATGCTTTTAATTTCTTTTTTTAGTGGGTAATCTAATAAAAAATGCACTTTAACAGTTATAACAATGAAACCCTCTAAGGGAATAACAAAGAGTTCTAGTGTATCAATTATTAATGCATTCAGTGCCCCATCTGATATTTCCTGTTGTCTTTAAGCTCACTAATTACTCCTTTTGTCAGGTGTAAATTTGGGTTCCTATTCTACCTGGGCTGGCAGATTCTTTGTGGTTTTGATTAGTTAGTTACTAGCTGCTGTTAATGAGTTCCACTGCTCAGTGGCATCTCAGCTGAAGGAACAGTGAGCATGCCTACTTCTATGTATAACAAAACCTGGTAAATTGAATAGGAAGTCTGTATGCTGCACAATAAAAGCATGTTCTCTCAATCAAATTATTTGATTTACAAACTGTTCACCCTTAGGCAGATTATATTTGGATATGCACAACTGAACTATCATTTTTGTTCTGCATGAGCTGTCAGGGGTAGCTGGTGTCATGTTGCTTTGATGTTTCTTTAAAACCATAGTAAACCATTATGAAAGTTCTGCTGCAGCATCAATGAAATCGTTCTCACTAGAGGTGCTGGGAGCTCTTAGTGGTGGGGATCAGATGGAATCTGATTGAAATGCTGCTATATATATACTAAAAAAATAAAAATCAAACCCTGCAAATTGTGTCCAGCCTTTTCTGATGCAGGCAGCATAAGTAATCAATCTGCTTTATAGACCCGTGGAAAATATGTGGAAGAATTTCATGTGGTTTGATAGAATGCTGGTAAGATTTCTGCACATCGAGCTAACATTTGTCCTCAAGCCCCACAGCATTATTTGAACAGAATTAGGCAGGTTTCCATTTCATGACTTCAGTACTTGGAGGCTAAAGATAGAACTACAGCAGTTGTTTGTCAAAGGAAAAATGCTGTCTGCTTTTGGTCTGGAGGAAAAAAAAAAGCTATTAAGAAAGGAAAGGAACTCCAATTAAAATTAAAGCCTAAATGTTGTTTTAAGAATAAATTATATGGAAAATAATGTAACAGGAATCTGAGTTGCTTTTACTTTTTGATCATGGCGGAAGGTGCTGACTATTTAGAAGAATAAAACCTTATTAGAGCCATCAGGAAAATGATGAATTTTCATGATCTTGCCTTGCTAGACAGTTTTAGCCCTAGAGAAAATTTCAAACAGAGATGTGTGGAAAAGCAGCATTGCATCTATCCCAGGTGTGAAGTTAGAAAACCTTTTTAATTAATAATAGCATCTAAAGTACTCTTAAAAATATAAACAAGGCTAATGATGATTATAGCTTACAACTGTCTTCTTGTAATCTCCTAGGTCAAATGTGTGGCTAAGTGTTTGTGCTTGAGGCTCTGTACTATTGTTCTTTCATGTGTTCCTTCTGAAAACCTTAAAGAACCAGGTAAAGCCTGAGAATTCTTCCATATACAAGATGCTCATTTTCTACGCTGTGTCTGGGTTTGTACTCATGAAAAAAGCTTTTGGGATCCAAGTGGCGTTTCTGTGAGTTCTTCCTTTACAGTCAAACCTCTGAATAGATGTAAGAAAGTTCTGCAAGAATGTTCATCATGTAGTAAGTGCTTTTCCTGTTTGACAAAGGATTTCTCTTATAAGTTAAGCAAATTTTGCCACATTAATAATTAATCATGGAATCTCTCAGACTTAAATGGAACTCAGTGAGTCCAGCTGGTTTTTTGCATTATTCCAGGATTAATTTTGTTATTACTAAAATAATTGTTGAATGTTAGAACTTCTTTTACTTGGAAGAGTAAATCCTGTAACATCTCATCAAATCTAACCATGGAATGAAATATGATTTTTTACTGAAGCAAAAGGCATTTTCTAAATTTCCCTGTCTTCATTTAGCTGCTGGTTCCAACCTCTAGTATTAAATACTGACTATTTGCTGATTGGAAGGGATTAAACATTACATCCAGCAGTGTCCTGGTTGTGCCCCTGTGTCATATGTTTAGGGAGAATGCTTTAGAGGAGTCTTACAAGCGTGCAAATGAGTAAATCAGTGAATTACACTGCCCCATCTGCTGCCAGCCACTAAGCAGAGAGAAAAGCAGATTTAGTACAAAGTGAGCATTTACAGTAGCCCTGGGCAATATTAAAGCATGATGTGGTGTATATAATGGTATGTTTCGTTTTTTATCAAACGTTTGTCCAAGAAAGCTGTGTATTAAAGCTTCAATACCTAAGGGCTTTCTTGTGAATTTTAAATCATGCTCCTAGTTAAACCTCAAAAGGATCTGGGGATGGAAAGGTTTTTTGATTTTCTTTGAAGTGGTTTGAAGAAGTTGATTAGTGTTGGCACCCGAGCACTCTTTTATGACGCTGTTTATAAATAATTCCTAAGTACCAGGCTGGAGTTTCAAGGTGTTAGATTTAAAAAAAAAAACAAAAAACCACCCTAGGATTTAATCACATTACATTTGAAAGAAATTAGGTGATAAAAACAGCTGATGTATCCTTTTAAAGTATTTTTCTACATTGTGTACTAGTTCTGTTGCACTTGCAAGAACCAATAAGGGGGGAGTTTTTCTTAAACCTTCCAAGTCAGATAACTTTGTAAAGATGAATCTCTAATTTGGGTTTCATGTATGTTTAAAAATTGCACCTGCCCAATAACTGTTAAGTGCATGGAAGGCCTCATAAAAATACATTTCACATCCTTCCCTGTCTGCTGCCATCAGACACTGTTACCTCCTTTGGTTGTCAAGAACTGAAGAGGGTTTTGGGTGAGTAGATCCCTTCCCTGTTTTGACCTATGTTACTCGCAGAAATACTCATCAGTCCCTTCTGTGTATAGTCTGGTTTAGTTTGGTTTTTATTCCTCCCAAGGTATAGGGGAAAAAATGTCAAAGATATTAATCTAAAATGGTAGCTCAAAGGGTTGCAGCTTAAGGTGTGTTCATGGAAAAAGTCCCAAATACTTTCCTAAGGGTTACTCCACTCGCCCATGTTTGTCTCACCTCTACTTCATTCCCAATGAAGCTTACAATGGTAATGCCTATTGTATTGTCTATAAGCATTAGATTAAGAATTCCTCAGCACTGGGATGCATTTTTGCCCACCTTGCCCCCTTAGGGGAAGGAGAGGGACATGCAGTAAAGAAACACAAGATATGGAAATGAAGAAAATAAATTACTTCTACTGATGACTAGAAAAATTGAAGGAACTATCAAAAAGGGTAGAGGGAACATGCTTAATTTTGCAATATCTAAATCTTCTCTGAACCGTGAGACAACCTATTTAGATGAAACCAAAAAGTGAAATTGCATTTTTTGGGATGAGAGCCAAAAGCTCTGCTGAAATAAAAAGTATTTTTACCACCATACTGGGTAAGAGAAATAAGAAACAACCTGAAGAAGTCCTGTTCAGTCTCAACCATTCTATGATTATGGTAATAGTCACTTTGAGGTAGTCCTGTCGTGCATGTACAAGTTCAAATACTTTTGCATCACAAAATACCACAAAATGTGTTAGGTCTAAATCAATGTTTTCAGGATAAAAGTCTAACTTGGATAAGGAGATGTTTGTATCATGCTCTGGTTCACTCACTAAACTATCATGTGTTTATATATATCTTACAAAGTGGCATGTTTAATCAGAGTATTTATTTCATTGACCATGGAGATTAAAGGAAGGCCCAGCAGACACTGACTTTTTGACTTTTTCCCCTCGAGTGGAGCCCAATCCTGAAGTCTCTGTTCAGGCAGATTTCCAACCAAAATAATTGTTTTGTTGTGATTATATTTCTATTCTGCAATGCAATAGTGGGAAATTGGGTAGTATTTTTGCTGTTCTGCATCTTAACATTCATCTATTCTTGTTTCATAGCTCCAAGAATTTGTGTACTTGGTCCACCTGCTTCTGGGAAAACAACAGTTGTAAGTGTCCTACCTTCAGTCAGATAATCCTGTCCACTTTTTAGTTTCTCCTGAGCTCAGCACTTATGAAAATTTTGATCTGATAAAATAATTTTCAGAATTATGTAAGCGATGGAGAGCACAAGGCAAATTGCAGGTTGGAATTCTTAAGGGATACACCTGTATATTACACTACAGGTTAAATGGAAATACTCAAGTGAGCTCTGCGAGAACTCACTATCATTAGTGGTAGTGATACTGCTGCAACGCAACAGAACTTTGCCTGCCGTGTTTTCCCAGCTTTTTAGCAGGGCTGGCTAACCTGGGAGAGTACCACAGTTACACATTTGTGGTATTCCCTTATTGTGGATTGCTCCCTTTGCGTGGCTCATTGTCATGCCCACCGGTACCACTTTATTGAAAACGTCAAAGTTGTGTTTGAACCACAGAGAAAGCTGACCACAGAAACTGCAGATGATGGTGGGGTGTGCGTGCCAGGAAGAATGCTTTCTTCTTTAAAATCTCTGCTAGAGTACAGTAGATGAAAAAGACTTTATTCAAAGCTGTACAGTCTTAAACAACTTTATAAGGAACTGCTTAAAGTTACACATATAGTCTGTGTAATTGAATGGAAGGCTGGAAAACACACTGTCTTTCTGTAGCCTTCTGAAAAAATGCTTCATTTTCTTTCCAAATATTTCAAGCTGTATATTATTTTTGTTTCTTCTTCCCTCAGGCACTGTGGCTTTGTAAACGTTTGGATGCCATACGTATCTCTCAGGAGACTTTGTTATTCAAAGAAGCACTGGCACTGACAGAGGAAGCAAAGGCTTATAAGGAAAGAAAAGAGGTGTGTAAGTGGATATAACAATGGTAGTTCTCATGTCACAGAAGAAGAATTATATGCCATTCCCATGATTTCAACTGCTATGAGTTGAGAAGATCAATGTTCTTATATCTGTGGTGGTTTGTACATTGGTTTGTGTCTATGTGGGTAGAGGGCCTTTTGAGAAGAAGGGTTATCTCTGCTAGATAAGAAGGTATGAACAAAGACAAAAGGTGTCAAGGCATAGAATAGGGGCAGGAGAGGAAGACAGTGTGAAGTCATGGAGTTCTTAAAAATGTTAACCTTAGATTCAGAAGATAGTTCAATTCTTGGGGTGATGCACTCTACCCAACTCCGAGTATCTACTTTGCTCCAGACAGGTTTTGAAATCAATTCCTGCTTCATTGTGAGCCTCCTAACAAACGTTCAAAAGAGTTTTTCCAGGTGTCATGACTCTCAGGATTATTTGGTCAGCAAAGTAACTGTCTTGTTATTAAAGGATAGTGACAAGTAGGTCAGAAAAATATGTTGGAAGAATATCCTGAAGCCAGAGAAGCATCTCTGCTTCTGATTCCTGCTCTTTTCAGCTGATTCCTTTCTCCATATGTCAAAGTATGCCATGAGTAATAGAATGGAGGAAGTCCAGTTTTCTGTGACTCTCTGGCAAGGCCACTGTTTGGAGTTTATCTTTTTCCCCCTTATCACTTATATTCATAAAAACTGAAGTAATTTCATATCCATGAGAATTCTACACCCCTGCTAAATTAGATTGGAATTGGCCAACAGATTCATACTTTGCTGAGATGGTACATGGTGTGATACATAGATTAATTTTTTCCTTAGAAAATTAGGCTGAAAATAGGGTAGAGTTTCTTATAGTAAATTAGTGAATGAAGTCTGGAGATACCTTGAGTAATAAAGATCTGAGAGGAAAGAGTACATTAAACTCACTGAACTTCCTGGCAAAAAGGTTTGCTTTTGGCTGGGATGATATAAAATTATTCTTATCAAGAATCTATACTTTGAATCTTCCTCCTAATTATTAAAGATTGTTTTGCTGGGTTCATAAATTTCATCTTGGAGGGGAAGAATTTAAAACAAAAATTCCCTTTGGTTTAATTACTGTAATTATTAACATATTTCAGACTATACAGATGCACTTTCAAGGGTGTCCTTTTGGGCTTATTTGATTCAAAAAGATGGATAGTGTGGAAGATGAAAGTCAAAAATGTCAAGGCTAATCAGGTAGTAAGGAGTGCCCAAAGAGCAGAATCTAGCGGTGGTTTAGTACTGTGCAGTTTGCCTTTGGTTTTGAGATGTTAGAGCCTCGAAGAACGTTTCTGCTCAATCATTTCTTTTGTTCTTTCATGAGTTTGATTCTTCAAATGCAACTCCTAAAACTAGAAGGGAACTTCTTGCTTCCTCTAAATCAATGCAACCTTTACAATGACTTAAAATGTAGCTGAAACTCATCTCTATGGGATGACAGTATAGCTCTAAAAAAATATAGCTCTAAGAGCTGTATTTTCCCTTACTGATTCCTGTCTGCTGGCTAAATCTACTGTTGCTGTAACTGACCCCTGGTTCTGCTGAAGGGAGTGGTAAACTTGGTTCCTGCAGCACACACAACATCCATTAGCACTGATAGGGTTTGGATGTCTGTTCAGGAACAGAACAATAGCTGTTTATACTATCTTTGATACAATCAGGGCATTAAAAAGGTGTAGTTGTGGCCAAAGCAATTTAATAAATAGAAAGAGGCAAAGCAGGAATTGATTGTTGTTTTGAAAGTCTGGCGTGAAGATCATATAACACAAATTAATGTTGTTAGAGGAACGTTTCGTGCAGATAAAGTTACTTAGCTAAATTAACCCTAGGCCAAAGGTCATTCATTTTTAGGTCACTAGGCCAATGTTACTAGATCTGAGCAAATGCTGCAAAAAGGTCCACGAATGTTTCTTCACATATTTTACTTACCTTTAGCCAAGCTTTCATCTCTTTTGTGTTTGCTCCCAGCAAACATTAAAGCATTTGAGTTTTCCTGGCACAAGAATTCATGGAATTCAAGGCGTATTTAAAATATGTGATGATTCTTTGAAGCTCCATTTTTCAAGTTGGACATGCAATCATTCACTGATACATACCTGGCCACTCACTAATGAGCACAGCTCAGGTACTTTACTTTAAATAGTGACTGTTCAAAGCAAAATGATCATTCTGCATGTAAAAATAAAGTCAAGTATTTTTGAATATTCAATAAATTTGCAGAACCACAAGCTAGCAATAAATATTCCATGAACAGAAAAAGAGGCTACAGTTTTGGATAAATCATTGCAAATTACTCCCTCATCTCTAGTTTTATAATGTTAATAGGAAGCATCTTCAGGTTTTTCCTATAGTGAAGTCTAATGATGAGCTATTGCATATTTCACTTTTCCTGTTAACTGGGTAAAATAAGAAGTTGAAGCAACTGTGGTAATTGTGGGCTGGTGGGATGGGTGTACTCTTAACACTGTACTAAACTGCAGTTAAGGTGTTTGCATACGACTTAATGGCTTAAATGGTGCTCTAGAGTTGCATCATGTCCCTGTGCTTTTGAAGAAGAAATACAGTAGAAGAGAGAAAAACCTGAGGCATCCTTACCATGGTCATCATTCTAATCTATTCCAGGCCACTATGAAAGAACAAGTAGGAATGGTTCCAGTCCTGTGTGTACATAAAAAGGACTGGTCTTTCATGTGTATTATCTGAAGAAGCTCAATCTAACCAAACTAAACCAAATTTCTTCAAACTTGACTGCTTCTAATCTCCAAGCTGCAAACCTGGAGAAGTCAAAAGTTCTTTTCTGTTGCTGTTTTCAGAACAAATTTATCCAAAACTTCCAATAAAAATGTCTAGAGAAAGTGTTCCCTGCAAAAAAAAGTGTAGCAGTTTTATGAAAAAATCATTAAAATATAGCCCTGCATAGATCAGGCATGTAAATTGAAAGATGATGTCCCTGAAATAACATGGAGTATTTAAAATGAATCATGAATGAGTACAGCTTTACAGCAGTATGGAAATAGTGATTAAACCAGTGTAGATAGAAAAGTGGTCTGAACAGAAAGAAAATACTGTAGCAGCAGGTCTTACTGAGTAGCTAAACTGAACATTGGACAGGGTCAGTGTGCCTTAGGTAGGTTATGGTTCTGCAGTAACCTAATATGTGGTTGTCCTTGTCCATTATTGCAGATTTCTAGGAGGTGCAGCCCCATCTACCAGGCTCATGAGATATTTATGTGAGTGTTTATGAGAGAGAAACTGTAAATATGCTCTCTGCTATGTATCAGATTTAATGATTTCTAGTTGAATAATTAGGCATTCTGCAAGCAACCTATTGAAAATGATTTCATAGGCCACTGCTCAGTAGGAGGAAAACTGACCAGGAAATGAGACTGGAATTGAGCCACACAGAGCAGAAGGAACTAAACCAGTGAAATACAGCATGTGTGTCCTTGATTGGTTTTGTGCAATAAACCCTGCTCGAAGGAGAGGACCGAGAATACCACTGCACTGAAAGAAGTTAGTGTAATTTTGGTTTAAATGGGTTTGGCAAGGCTTAGCAGAGTGGACCCCCGGCAGTCACTAGCCTGTCTTGACATGACACATCAAAGAAGTAAGCAAGACACTAGCTGTTCCTGATAGCAGCGTGATGCACCTTTGGAAGGTGACAGACTCAAAGCCTCAGACCCAGGCTCCAGCAGCATGAGGCTGCAGGAGGCTTTGACACACCACCCTGTGGGACCTGCTGACTTTCAAGAGACATGGCAGTTTCTTTCCCTTTTTCTCTTTTACCAGCTTGAATGTTGCCTTATGAATGGCTGACATTAGGAAAGGCACTGAGAACTGGGGCCAGCAGAGAACAGAACAAAATCCACTGCCTCACTGGGCTACCTTGTTCCACAGCCAGATGAGGACTGGTTGCTTTTGTGTATCCTGGAGTGCTTGGTCCATTCTACTATAAAAGTGACTTGTGTGGAAGCATTTCCTCCTCTCCTGGTGAAGATATTTCATGAAGAAGATTGTTATGAAATCTTTACGTAGTCACATTTTCCTTTTATCTATCTACATCCTTTAGTATAACGTAAGCCTGCAGAAGTAGTCTTTTTTTAGTTTTTTAGCTCACATAGTTAGGTGAAAGGTAATTTTTTTGAGTTGGGAAGTAGAGACTCTAGCTGCAGAATTTTCTCTGAGTATTCATTTTACCAGTAATGACAAAATGAATGAGACTGAGACAAGGCATTTAGTCACATGATTAATGGCTGCTCTGTCTGGCATGGCCAAAAGTTTAGACTTTATCAAATTAAACTAGCTAATGTAGAATTTGTTTAACTATGTTCAGCATAGAATGAAGGCCTAAATTAACAAAATAGTCCCAAAAATTCTTACAAAAAGGAAAGAAGGGATTGTTAATTTCTTTTCAGAAAATCTAATATAATAACAAGGAATATTAGGGGAATGCTATATCTGTAGAAGAACTTTGTTCTTCTCTCAGATTGCAAATACTGTCTTACAAACCATCGTTAGGTATGGACGAAGTAATAGTCACTGAAAGAACCAGTGCTTCTGAAAATGTTGGCACCTGCAGTTTCAATCCTATTTCTCAGTGCTGAGTTTAAAAATAAGCTAACTTTAATATTCAGATTAACTTGAACCATAAAATGTATTTTAAATAAACTTACCGGATGATGCAAGAGACACAGTTGCTTCAAACTGTGAAACAAAGCTCCCAAAAATCAGACTCTGTTCTTTGCTTCATGTGTGAGTTGCTGCTTGTCTCACAATAGCTGTTACGATCACTAATGCTGAGTCCACTGGCACATGGAGCAATAGTGGGTCAGATACTTGTGGTGGAAAAGACTGCTTGTGGCTGTGGTGATCTTATGGATCCCTTTGCAGGTTTGATGGCCAGTGTGTGTTAGTGTGCAAAACTCAGCACTGCTTCCATGTTAGTGTGCAAAAAGCATGGATGTAGGCTTTGTGTTCAGCTTACCTTTAACTCTGATTTTGTGCCCTTATTAACTCTCTGATATATTATGTTAATGGCTTGGGACTTGCACAGATTTATTTATTTATTTTTCAGAAGACATCTCACTTCACCTTTAACCGGGCTATGCCTGCATGGTAAAATTCCTTTTGAACTCAATTGTGAATATTCAGCCTTTTTTTGTTCTTTCTTTAGAAAATTCCCAACGTGCTTTGGGCCAATCTGATCCAGGAACGTCTGTCAAACGTGGACTGCATCAAACAAGTAAGAATTGCTCCTCAGAGGGCCGGTGGATAAGCACTTACACAACTCGTGCATAGTACTTAGCATTCCGAGTCCTGAGCAGAGGAGGGAATGGGGGCAAATCATTGGGGGCTCTGGAGCTGATTGCTTTCTTGAACATCAGCAGAGGGAGTTTGGAGCTTTATTAACAGGATAAAGGGGAGGATGAGAGTATGCATATGCTAATCTTCTAGCACAGAGATGATCAAAGGCTGAACAAGCATAGCTTTGTTGATTGCCTGGGGCAACTGGCAGAGATATAGTGGACAAAACAGATAAACAGGAAATATATAAAAATCAATATGTTAAGATTTTTAACTCTTATTTAGGAAAGGGGGGGAGGAAGAGTCTAATATTACTAATTTCAATTTTCTTTGTTTCTCATTGTCTTTTTTTTTATTTTAATTCCTGTGTTAGGAAAAACTGCATTTGAATATATTCTAGGTAATAATAATTATGTTCCCTGTTAGTTTATACAAATAGACAAGTGAATAGGTTTAACTGTATTCACAGATGTGTGGCTTTTCTTTTTTTCTCTGTGTATTTAGCCTTAATATAAGTAAAGACTTTTAACATAACACCAAAAGAGAGCTTAAGTAGATTATATACTGGTCTGCACTCAATGAAAGCAAAATCTCTTTTATGTGATTCCTTTAAAATCTCAGATATTGTAATGGTTTATTGAGCCCATAATCAGCCCATTATAAGGGATTGTTTGTAAGAGACATACTGATCTAATGGATAAAACCATGTTTCTAAACAATGCCACAATCTGAACTGCGTATTAATTGATGCATATCTTGAGAGGAAAAAGTCTGGTCCAAAGTAGGTGTTATGATCACAAAGGGCTAAGCAGCTTTTTTCAGATAAATAGTATGTGTTTTCAGAACAGTCACTCTGTCACACTCACACTTCGGTCAGGGGATAACTAGTATTTCCTGGCCTCACAGAGATATTGTAAGGCTCATAGCTTTATTCAAATCCGTTGCTTCTCAACATCATCATCGTCTACCTTGTTGGCTGAATTACTAAGGCTGGTAATCCACATTTCATTGAGGTGTGAAAATAGCTTCCTAAAGCTTCTTGGCGTTAGGCACTGAAAACCTTATGTCTTGTACTTCTTCCGTCTCTTTTGGTGTAGTCTGCAGACCAGATCCTTCCATCCAAATAAAACAAAATCATCCTGGGGGCTGGGCTATTGCGTTGTAGTTTTTAAGATGGTAATTCTCTAATGCAGGGGTGTCTATAGGTGCAGAGAAACATCAACAAAACTAGCAAGAACTGAAAAGAATATCCTGCCCCTGATTGAAGGTTTCAGCTTTTAGAACTCGGATAATGTGAATGATTGCCAAAGAAGTGGCTTTCAATGGACCTGCCTTGTGTAAGCTAGATCAGATCATCAATTACGTGTATGAGCTGTGGAAAGGATAACTTGATCAGGATAGTAATGAATAGCTGGAGTCACAATCTCTTCAAGTGTTCCTGCCTGAGGGGTTTGCTAGAGGACATCTATCTGTGTCATGTTTCTGTTGTGAGCACATAGCTGTAGCAAAATAGCAGTGAGCTGGTCTCGAAGCACTAGCTTGGAACTAGCAATAGCTAAATTTCAATCTGTCCCATTACCATAATTTTTATGTGGGTGACTTTTGAACATTTCATTGCATTTGTGGCTAAATCCAGCTTTAACAAGAGACAGATGTAACGGAACATGGGGATGCATTGTTGGCTCCCATACCTATTTACAGGTGACACTATAGGACTTCTAAACTGCACCAGTATTTCCTTACATGGGGAATTGCCAAGATGTTAGGATTTTAAAATGTACTGACAGCTCTAAACTGCAAAGTGTGGTTTTATTCTGATTCCCCCTTCCTGCCTTCTTTCCACTTTCTGTCAATTAATAAAATCTACTTTGCCATGCACAGAAGACATGTTTTTAGGCAAAATGCACACTACTGTTTAAGCTCTTACTTTCTTCTTAAAACCAGCTGTTGTTTCTGTCTGCATTCCCTTTGAACACTGGTGCGATCGAGGCCTGGGAAGGCTGTGGAAGAATTTGCTAGTTCATTATGTGTAAGCACATGACACACACCCTGCCCTTTCTTTTCCAAATGGACTTCTTGGGTCTTTCAATTGTCAGGAGAACCTGTTTGAAAACATGCATGTGGGGTATCATCCTGTTCATTTTTGAGGCATTTTGAATTTAAGAGTGTAGCTGAGGAACACCTGAGAAACCAAAATTGTCAGTTCTGGATATATGAGCAAATGAGCAGCAAAAAAAGGCTCTGAATGTCAACGTTTTTTATGTAAGCAGTGCAAGGATATATCATGGATATACAGCAAGTCAGGTGACTGGATGATTTACTGCCTTGTCTTTGTAGCAAGATGTGGAACATCTGTCTCAAGTGAAACTTCTCTAGTATGTTTAAAATATCTTTAAACCTGTAGAAGTGGAAGTGAATTTAAAGGATAGTAAACCCAAGAGAGAAGCTGCTCTTCTGCCTTCTAACTACTGGGCTTTCAGCTGGTTTCAGACCCCAAACACAGTCCCCTTCAGGTTAACAATAACAGCTTCTCTGGTTGAGCTACTAGTGTTTGCCTGATGAAAAGAAGGTATGTTTTCAGCAGCTGATTTTTCCAGCTTTTGTTGTGGTAAGTTTAGTAACCATCACTGTATAAGGAAAATCCATTGCTCTCCAAAGGCTGCATCCACCTTATGCTATTTTTGCCCTATACTTTCTCTAATTGTTGCCATGGTTCTAGTTCTCCTTTTAATAGTGAGGGAAGGATCTGTCAGTGACTGTTACTTTAAGTATTAGGTCATGTAAACTCTGAGTAAGGTGACAAGATAGTTAAAATGCCAACAGCTGCATAGTGTTCTGCCTACATTTTCTGTTCCTGTTCTTGGCACCTGCAACACTGAATCAGTGCTGGATGTCTTGCAGAACTAGGGGGGAAAAAACCACCTTCATAAAGCTTTCCTGCCATTGAGCAAGAATGGAGTTGGTGTTAGTGACCTGGGGAAGGATTCAGCTGTTTTTAGGAAATACCCACATAATTGACTTTGCAAAGTTGTGATGGTTATTAAAAATCTTTTAATTACTAGGTAGTAATTCATGATCACATTGTACATGTCTTCCACTTGGAAGGGGATCTATGTGTTTTAATGGCAGTATTTTCCTTGTGTGCTTGGAAATAGAATTAATGCTGTGGATTTTTTTACATGGTTGAACGGATTTGTGCTCTTTCTTTCCAAACATGAGTCAGCATTTTTTGGGTGAAATTGTTAATAGATGAGGAGCAGTGTGTTGGACCACAGTACCACAGCTCTTTGTTTTATTTCTCCTTGTGGTGTCATTGGCTTGGCATTAATTGTACAGCTTTCATCCCACCGACAGTAGGAACACAGAATTTTTGTGCCATTGTTTTGTCACTCGCAGGTTTATAGATGTCACAGGCATTCTCTAAGGAGAACATTTTTATTGATCAACAGCTCTGCTGAGGCTCTGTGTTATGTGTTCTTCTAACACAAATGTAGTTAGGCCTGTGAGGGATCAGATGGGTAGGTCTTCCAGCAGACATAGGAAACTTATTGCAAGTGTTATGTTAGAAGCCGGGGCTTGTGCAGCTGATATGAAGACTTTTCATGTTACAGGGTTAGCACATGTTGGCTATGGCACCTCTGACTGCTGTGGAGGGCATTTATAGAACTGGAGAAGGCTGGCGAAGAGACCGGTACATGATGAATTTGTGAGAAAGCCAGCTGGAAATCCTTACTGATGGCTTAGGACTATTTAGAAACTAAGCTTAGGCCAGTGATTCGTGAGTGGCAGAATTCCTTTTGCTGTGAAACAATCCCGAATGGTAGTGGCTATCCTTGAAAGGGAAGGCACAGAGAGCAGTGGTTTTTGGTTCTGTTTGGGCTTACCTTAGCAGATAAAGATCATCATGTTGTCTCTGTGAAAATCTGTGTGAGGATAGTGATGCTATGTAGATTTATCTGGGGAGAGAATGCACCTATTCACCATATTTTTGTTTCCCCAAGAAGAATGTGGCTTTTTAAAAAAGCTTTGCAGCTTATTCAACTTACAAAAATAATGTGGGGAATAAAAGGTTTCTTTCTAATGGCAAATTTGGAAAAGTTTTCCATATTACTCATGTTGGTGGGCTACAGGGTTGACTATTCCTACTGCTCAGTCTGCTGTTTTCTGAAAAATCTCAGGAATTTTAGATCCATACTGGCAAAGGTATTACTGATACTATTTTTTGGCACTATTGTCTGTCCCCTTTCACAGTTGGGACCAAAAGGCACATGGTACATTCTCAAAAATACTAAATGATGATGTGGAGAAACTACCTTGTTTTCCTAAAGGCAGCATGTTCATGACCTTTGATGTCTATGCTTGTGGCTGAGATTCCTTTCAGATGTGCCACGTAATTCAGTATTATTTCTCTGCGCTATTCCTTTTCATTGTTCTAAAGCAGTGTCAATTCTGGATATTGTGATTTAAAAATAAATAATTATTGATGATGTACAGGTTAAATAACCAGAGAGATATCAAATACCCAAGTCATTATTACTGGGGGGGAAAGTGTGAAAGTGTGTAGGCTTGGTGTTATAGCCGAGAGTAGTGCCAGCAGAGGAATGAGATTTACATTTGGGAATGACCTTGAGCATTTCCAGGTTCCTTAAATCCAGAGAGGAAAGTGATGGCTTTGAAAGTACTTCCTTGTTGCTGATTTTCAGCGTGGCGTGGGTCTCCAAGGAGCACTTCACCTGGCATTAAGGCAACAGCAGAATGCTGTATTTGCAGCAGTCTTATCTGGGGAAGCATCAAGGTTTCCAGCTGAAATAGAGGGAACAGTGACCATAGAGTAAAAGCACCATGGAATTACTCACTTTTAGCCTCTGTTCCACCCTTCATGTGATAAGGTGTGATCAATGCATGGATGTAAGGTTACTGCTAGCAAGAACAAAAAAATAGATGGCTTCTTAAAGAAACAAAATTACCATGTGAAGTTACTAATTACACTTTCATGATAGTCAGGAGGGCAAAAAAGACCAGTGTTTGCATAAAGCATGATAGGCATATTTTTAAGTCAGGTCTTGCTCTGCTGTGTCTTGCTTCGTCTCGCTCCGTTCCCAAGCCACAATCCCTTTTTACTCCTTTTTTTTTTTTACCCCTTATTTTTTTTATGTGTGACATCTGCTTGGAGCTTGTCCCTCCTGTGATCCCATACCACTTGCAGCTGTTCAGACCTCCAGCTCTGAGCTGTGCATGGGGTGCCCTGAGCATACGGCCTTTTTGATGTGTGATAAAACAGAACCAAGCCACTGGGGGTATGGAGAGGGAATGCAGCAGAATATCAATAAACCTGTTCTGAACAAAGCTGCAGCTCTTTGGTGGAATAGACATTTCACTGAAGTGTCAAGTAGATGGATAATGTATTCTAATTAGGGACTGACTGATACCCAGCAACTTGGAGACCTTTGGAAATCAGATCCAAAATGTTAACTATTTTTGTAGTGTGTGTTTATTTTGCATTTGTTTAATGCCTTAAAACCTATTTGTTGCAAGAAGCTATTTATTATGCTCCATTTTCTTACATTACAAAAACTTTTAGCTATAAAATTGCTTATTGCCTGTTTTAAGAACCTTTGAAATTTGTATATAAACCTCTTGAAATTTGTTGAAAATACAGTATTGTGTTTTGCTGCCTGTTGCTCAGGGTGTGATTTTTGAGCAATAAGCCATAGTGACACAAGAAACCATGGTTTTGTGTTGGGGTTGTTTCCCGTTTGTTTTGTTTTAGTTTCCACAATTGTTGCACTTGGAGTGAAGCAAACAAACCGGATTTGTAGCCTGTGTAAATTGGCAGAGATTTATTGGCTTCAGACCTCCGATGCCATCTCGCCCTGGAAGAGGATCTGGGCCTCTATGTGCATTGTAGAGGCACAAACTTCAGAGCTAGTGCTGAAGTTCCTAGCGTATCACTAAAAATATTGTGCAGCTTTGCCTCCTGCGAGTCCCAAAGGATAAATTGATTTCTCAGCACCTGGGTGACCTTAGACAGTGGTTCATTCTAATTCGACAGAGCAAACACTAGGAGTGGCAAAAAAGGCTTACAGTTCCTTGAGTCTCTTATTTCCTACAGCTACCAGCAGGATGATATGTTCCTGAAACCAGGCTAATTAAGGAATTTTAAATAGTCTACTCTATTTTCTTGTATAATTGGAATGTCCCATTTCCTCCTACAGAAGTCATGGAGATATGTTTCCCTGAACAACTTCTAAAACCTTTGGACCCCAAACTGACAGAGCTTCAGATTTATGTGGGTTTTGAGAATGATTGCCAGCTAATGCAATATTAAAATATCTTCCTCATTTCAGTACAAAGATGGTTTCCAGATTTATGGTGGTATCACAAAGTTATTCTGAAGTGTAGGAAATAGTGATAAGGACACATGTGGTTGACCAACTAACAGATAAATCAGAGAAAGTTCAGGAGATTCAGACTTGAGACTGGGAGGTGGATTAGATTTCAGAAACTGCATCACACAAACCGAGGCTGCAGCTCTCCTATGGTATTTCACAGATCTGTAAATGTTTTTTTAAAGATGCTCAATCCAACACTTAGCTGGCTATAACAAGGACTTAAGGGAGCAAAAGGCTCTTTTTTGTTTTCTCTTTCTTTTGCTCTGTTGCTTCATTAGCTTTGGGAATGCTGGTTCCATTACTGTGAGTTTTCCTGTATAATTTCAGAAAATAATGAAAGCATGCATATTTTCCTCACTGTTCTTGGCATTAAATCTGTCTTTAGATTTGCTTAGCCTCTTTTTTTTATACACAGTGTGGGCTGGTATACTTTTGAATATTTCAAAACTGTAGAAACTGTTTTGGGTTGTTTTTATTCAAGATAGAAATTTTGGGTTTAAGATTGAAACATGAAAAAAAATAGTCATTACTACGATACAGAAGTTCCCATTGCTCTGTGGCAGTGTGTGTATATTAGTGTGTGCCATTTCACAGAAATATCAGTGTTCCACATCTGTTTTCTTCTCTCACAAACATCCATAACAAACAGTGTACTGTGGGGGGATCAGAACGAGGTAATTTTTGTGCAGACAGCAGTGATATTTAGTGCTAATTTTGGAGGTTTTCTCTTCCAGGATCAATAACTGTTTCATGTTTTTGTTCAATAGGGATGGATTTTGGAAGGCTTCCCTGAAAATCAGGAACAGGCATGGATACTGCAGTCATCTGGCATCATTCCTAGGCATGTCGGTAAGCAGTACAAGGTTTATGTGTGATTGCATCCAGTAGGAAAGACTAGAAGTGTTTCTCCCCAAAAATCCTCTATAAATTCAGTACTGGTGCTGAAGACACTGGAGTCGCCACACAGAAAAATGCTTCACTATAGCTTAGTTTCATTCAAGAACTTGAGGTAACCTGTGAGACTTTACATCCTGTCTTTCATACATGAACCCTTTTCTTCTTGCACATTAGAGTTCTGTGTATTCAAGACAATCCCAGCAAGTGTGTCTGAGCAGGTGTGCTTCTGTTCTAGGAGTGGGTCTCAGTTTTCTCTGCCTTCCATCTCTAGAAATCAACCTTTATCCTCAGACTGAAACAATTCTTTATGTCCTAAATACAAGTTCATCCTTCTGTTGAATTAAAGAATGCAAACTTTACTCCACCAAGTGAAGTGGAAACATCACACTTTTAAGCTTGACCTATCAGAGTATGGGTGGATTCTTACTTCATTTGAGAGGCATCTGTTTACTGGCAAAGTGCTAATATCCAAGACTTTGACAGCTGCCCTTGCCATCTAGAAGAATCCAGTTGTCCCAAATTAATATGGTTAGAGGACCTTCTTAGAATGTAAGGAATTATTATGATTGTGTGGAATACAGTTTAAATGCTAAATGTAGAGCTTGCCAGTGGATAGTGAAGAGGACGTTAGTGAACCTGATGAATTGTCACTTTGGATTTGATTTGGATGAGATTTGACTGTTAATGAAGAATTTGGAAATCACTGCAACAGTTAGGCAAAAATGTTTAATGTCTAGTACTTGCATGTATTTTTAATATACCTAATAACATTTGAAGTTGAGTTTTGCTCACAATTATATCTGTGCCACCAAGACCTGAAGGAGAATCTTAAAGCTCAGTCTGTCTAGCTAATCAAAAAGAAGGCTGAGGAGAGAGGAGATTTACAGTATGTGAGTACCTTAATAGGGAGAAAAAGTGTCTGGAAGAGCTATTTGATACAGAGAAGAAAGTAATAAGAAGAACTTGTTTGAAATCTGTAATCAAATGCACTGAAAATAGTAATTAAATTACAGTGTTTAACTGTGAGGATGATTAGCCAAAAGCAACATAGGGACCTGACAGATTCTCCACTTTCTGATGCTTTCTAATCAAGTTTGAACTCTTTTCTGTGAGGTTATCAGGAAATAAGTTTCACTGGTCTCACTACCAAAGTACCTGGGTGAAAAGTAACTGTGATATAGAAGAGACTCGGTCTTGAGTAACCTGTAAGTACATCTATCCTGGGCTCCAGATAGAATGTAAATGAGGGAGAACCTTGTTAACTGGCGTGGATGATGGGGACAGCCTATGTACTTGTGTACTGGACTGGATACATACATTAATGTGTATTTTGTCCCACTAAGCTGTTTAGGAGATGGAGCAAAATTCTGATTGAAAGTGAAGTATTTGCAGGTAGAATACTGGAAAAGGAGAATAAGGCAAATGTGCTTGAAATGCATTCATCCATTTTTAGTACTAGGACACCTCTAAGCAGTTACAGGAAATAAAGCAAGCAACTAACAAGAGCTACACTTTTTTTCCCTTATTTTGTTTTGTGTTTTTCTTTGTGTCTAGTTGTGCTTTATGCTCCAGACACTGTGCTGATTGAGAGGAACAGTGGGAAAAGGATTGATCCCATCACAGAAGGTGCAGTATGTGTTTGTTCTTGATATCCCCTAGAAATGGAGTGTTGCTTGATCTCAGAACCATTCTAATACCAACAGGATTCAAACTTAAATGGTATCCCTTTAAGAACTAGTAGGGATTTATAATTATAAATTTATCTGTTTGGAAAAAGTGTTGATGTTGCATTATTTTCTGTGCCAATAAAATATGGAAAATGCAAAGCTCTGTATTGAGCCTGCAACCAGTAGACTATGGCTACAGCAGAGAATATCTGAAGATTGTATCTGCCCATATGAGCTTACATTTTGCTGTGTATCTTTGCTAGAGTCTGGGATATTTTTTTTTCCTGAGCTACAGGTATGCCTTTAGGTATCTTCCATTAAATGACTGTCAAATAGACTTACCTCTGTACTGTTTGTGGTGTACCAATCATCCATCACAAAATCCTGACAGTGATCAGTAAAAAAATCATACTGGATGTTTTATGAGTGTAATTTGGAGGGATGTTCTTAGCTAAAGAAATGGCTTTTATTTGCTGTAAGGGAGATCTGCTAATCAAAGGACTTGCTTAAGATTCAGTCTAAGAATTTGGAGAGCTGTCCCCAACCTGGCCGCTTCCCATCCGTGCATGTGCAGAGTAATAGCTGTCAGTACAAGTAGGAAGGGAAGTGCATAGGTTATTGCTTGCCACACAGTCTAGAGCTTAAAGGCCATGATTTTGTTAGGAAATATTTTGGAGCTGAGCAAGACCTATTAAATAATCCTCTTAGTTCCTAATCGCTGTCTAACTTCCAGAGGTGTACCATACAACCTTTGACTGGCCACGTGATCTGCTGATACAGGAACGTTTGGTGAAACCAGAAGATCTATCTGAACAGGAGATATCAAAGAAACTGCTGGAATATCACAGAAACTTCCCTGGGATTTTCCACATCTACCAAAAAATTCTGAAATCAATCAATGCAGACCAGCCTTCCATGGATGTCCTCTCACAGGGTAAATATGCACCTTTGTGGCAAATCTGATAGCTGATAAACTTATTTGAAAGGTAGTTCCTAGCTGTTAAGAGGCAGTTTGTAGGATTAGGATTAGCCAACACAGATAGCTCCAAGATGAGTTATATTCTTTCTAGTACAGCTTTTGGGCTCTTCTTGGTAATTATTTTGCAGGACTAGAGTAAGCTCAGGTAACTGGAAAGACAGTGCCAGAGTCCTGCCAAGGAGCAGCCGAGTCAGAGCAAATGTCACGGTTATTTCTGCAAGAGTCTCTTCTAAAAGGCTGCATTGTGGCTCAGCTGTTAATCTCCCAAAGGGCTGGTACCTTCCACAAGTCTGGTAACAAGAAGTAGGAGTAGTTCAAAGCCAGTAACATTTCATTATTTAAAAGCTGTTCTTGCTGGTAGCTTTTCTGTTCAACAATTCTTGTTTGCCTTTGCTTGACTGTAATGCAATCTGACTTTTAATGTTGATTCTTCAAGAAGAGAATAAGGAAACTGCCAGAAAAGACCAATTGATAATGTACTTTGTAGCTGTCAGTCTGTAGATGATCTGTTATATCCCAGTAATTTTGCATCTCAAAAAGGTCTTTTTTTAATAACAAGTCCTGCGCTTTTAAGATAAACAAGGAGGAAGTTTATATTCTGAATTTACAGATTAATTACCTCTAAATTACTTAATTAAATTTAAAAGTTCATATCATCATTCATAAAGAATTCATGCCTTGAATTGTAAATAAAAATGTGAGTGCCTGAATATTAATTATTATTAATTAATAATGTAGTGAGATAAATTGAAAACTGGAATGAAAAAATCCTCTCTAGATCTTTTTTCTGCAGCGCCTCAAGCAGCCAGAGGCTTTTTTTAAAGAATAATTAGCTGTGGAGACTGTCTGGGGGATCATTACTCCTAATTAACTTGGTTATTTACTGCAAATTAAGCATCATTTGTAAGCAGGGTGCTTTGCCTGTAGTGTTTGTGCTTTTCAATACACTGGGTTATGGCAAATGTTCAGAATAACTGGAGCACTCCTTGGGTAGCTGATACTCAGGGTTTAGGAAGTTCTGCAGCAAACACACTATTTGCTGTTACGATTTTCCAGGGGTTTTGTTCAGCTTTTTTATTGCTACACGTAGAGTTCAAAGAAGAAAGAGGAGATCTCTCATCAGTATTAGTATTATTATGGATTGTTTCAGACAGTTATAAAATTCTGTAAATTTTTAAACTGTAATGCAGTCACTGCTCACATATGCTGTGATGTGTGACATCAAATTCAGTTGTATGGTGTACTGTCCCAGTACAGCTCGTGGCACTGGAGAGGAGATACGCATGATCCTCTGTGGTTGCAGTTAGAGTTAGTTACACAGTTCTGTAGGTTCACTGTCTAGAAATACCAGGGCTGGAGTTTGCTGGAGGTGATTCTGGATTACAAATGTGCTTTAGAATGATCCCAAAGTGTCTAACAGAGGGTCCTCAGAAAATTTGTTACTTAGTATTCAGCAATGTCTTAACAATCGTAGGTAAAATACTGATCCTCGTGGTGGTCTCCATCAATCCTTCTATCCTTCTGTGGTTTTGTTTGGTTGGTTTGGTTTATTTTTTTAGTACGGGCTTATGATTCTTACAAACGTTAATGTCTAAGCCTGTCCTATTTGTTAGACTGAAATACTCTTTTATTACAAGGGCTCTTTCAGTCTGGAGAGTCTTTTATTTGAACTGAAGATTCTGGGCTAACACTTAACAGTATCCACTGCAATTACAGCGGAAATCAAAGTGTAGGTGTGCCCATGCTGCTTTAATCATGGGTAACTATGGCAGTCAGGCTATGGGGGCATGAAGTTTAGCCTCGGCATTTGGATCTGTGATCCCTGGGAAGCTTGCATAGATTGTGCTGAAGCTTGAGCTGCTCTCTTCATTATCTTTAGCCATTAAAGGGGCACAGGGAGTAAGAGTCTTTGGCTGTGTCCAGATATGATCCTAATTTGTCTTCGCTGCCAAGCCATGTCTTCTTTTAGCTTCTTGGTGATGTATCAGGTTCTCTTTTGAGATCATAACAAAGTTAAAATCTCTATGAGACATCCCATGATGCTTCGTATATCCTGTCATCTTTCCAAAGCTCTTATAAGCTGTAGATTGACCTGAATGTAGTATTTCCTACCCAATAAAAATGTAGCAGTATAATGTCCAGCAAACAGTAGAATGGGACAGAGAAGATCAAGGCAAAAATGATGGACACAAGAATAAAATCAGACTGGGTTGTGCATTGCCAATGCCGTGTTGTGTTGTGACATCCTATGCTACAAGTTTATAATACTGTAATTAGGAGTCTGTTAACCACAGAGCTGGTTAAATGTCATATTAATTTAACATCCTGAGTTTTTACACTTAAATATTTGTTCAGAAACTGCAGAAAGTATTTAATGTAATTATCATATCCCTCTATATTTTGCATGCTAAAATTGTACCTATCAAGCAAAAATTACTTCTGCTAAAAACAACATAGTAAAAGAGCAGTTATTAATTGAATCTACTCTTTAAAATGGTTTGACATTTACTGATGGAAGGAAGTATAGGGAAAGTATAATGATAGTAAGATTTCTGAAGTGCCCCTTGGTTTAAGTTGCTGACATGACAGATGTCAGTGTCCTGGTTTTGGTTGGAGTACCTGGAAGTTTCAGTGATAAAACAGAGCTAATGTTTATGTTACTTTTTAAAAAAAGAAATAGGAGATGTCAACTCTATTTCTTGCCTTATGTTCTAGTTCTTACCTATGTCCAAACACGGCACCGATCAGCTGCCCCTTTTACACCACGGATTGTCTTCTGTGGACCCCCAGGCAGTGGGAAGAGCCTTCAGGCATCACTGTTAGCTCAGAAATATGGTGTTGTCAACAGTAAGTTCTCAGTAAATATGTACTTTGCTCAATTCCCCCTTTCTCTCTTTCTGATCATTTATCTTTTGCTGTCTCATAAAATTTCTGTTTGTCCATTGCTACGGATGCCAAGTTTTTGAAGGAAGTGATGTAGTATAAACCAACAGGGCATATACTCTGTGCCAAACCAGCTCTAATGTTTTTTAGACATAATTTTTTACACCCTTTACATCAGTATTTTTTCATGTGGTAGATTCCTTAGTGCTCTGAATTCTTCTGTGGATCAGTGGGTCATGAGTAATGTCTTTGCAGTTTCAGCTGTCTGACCAAAACTGGGGCCCTTTTAAGACAGAATTTACTCTGAACATTAATGAAGACTCAGGTTCTGTGCGTCTGAAGTAATGTATTAGAAAAGAAGTGCCTGTTTAAAAGTGCCTTCTCTTTCTTTGGTAAAGGAGACCCAGAAAATTCTAGATGATGCTTGTTCAGGGGTAGCATGCTAATGCCTAGATCGTAGGTTTGTGCAGTTCCATTACGGGCACAGAAACAGCTATGAACTGTCTACTTGTCAGTTTGGGGTTCTAGGTCTAGCATTTTTCTATTTGAAATCTATTATTATTATTTTAGTGTTTTAAAACCCTACATGGCTGTGACTAAAATGACATCTGGCGAACTTGAAAAAGGTAAATTTAAATTATTTTAAAAATCTATATTACAATACTGAAAAGCCCAAATAAAATTGATAGGATGTTTGTGCTATCAGTTATTTTAATATTGCTGTGGCTTATAATTTCATATTAAAAATAAACGTAGCTTTATTCAAAACTGTATTTTTAATAACGATGTAATTGGCTTACTGAAAAATAAACCCTGTTTGAATGTGTTTAAAAAAATTAACTTGTCCTCATGTTTCTGAATGTATTTAATTTTTTGAGGGACTTTATTTCTAAAACTGCAGGTTTGATAGTGCTTTCATCTAGGTCAAAATTTGCATTTCTTTCTAAAGTAACTGCTATATGAGAGTGCTGCAGCTGCTGTTACTAAATACCATTACCACCGCTTTACCTGTATGTTGAATTTTAAGTCTACTGTAAACCAAATATTAGAAGAATTAAGTATTTAATTAATAGACCATCATTAGACCATCAATAGACCATCATTTTTCAGAATAGTATTCAGCATATATTTAATTTCTAATCAGGCCATTGGGATTGAAGCACAGGCTTAAAAATTTAATCCTATGTTTAAGTAGTCTCAGGAATTGGATTGAGTTTAGCTTTATATATATTAGCTGTCTTAAACTGGGGTCTATGAACTGAGTTTCTGTTATGTTTTCACACCATTTATTGTAAATATGGATTTGCTTCTTCAAGACAACTTGACTGTTAAAATCTGTGCTCATCCCTTGTTGCTTAAACATTAAATTCCATCAGCTTGATCCAAGAGATGTTGCTGTGGAGTACTCTTCCTCGTTTGCCAAACAGGGTGATTAATGGTGATAAAGCAGATGAAAGGGCTTGCTGCTTTTGCCATTGAAGTCAGTGCAGCTGTAGATGTTGGTGCTATTGATTTCAGAAAAGGTGGAATTACCTTACAATTATTAACTGAAAGGTAATGCAATAATGTGCAGAGTGACTGTTGTCTAATACCAAAATTGAGTTGAAACTAGGACTTAAGATGCTATGTAACCTCTCCATGCCTTGGTTCCCTCCCTGTGAAATAAGGGTCAGGACTATTGTATGGAGCTCCTGTGTGGCAGAGAGACTCAGTAACTCTGGTCAGAAAGCAGTGTTTCATGTACCACTGTCCTGACTAAAACTTTAAATCTGCATCTCCTGGTGTCTTCTGTGTATTTGAAGTCAATTATAATACTGCATTAGCACAGCTTTTCAAATATAATTCTTACATGATCATTAAATGATCCAGGGAGTCACTGCCTTGAACTGCAGATTTTCCTGCACCTCCAGCTGAGTGGC